GCTCGAGGTACCCCGAGTGGCCACGAACCACTGCGCAGGGGGTTGAGGCGCTCGAGACGAGGAATGACTCTAGGCGTCCCGAATGAGCACGGGGCACCGACTTGAAGCTCGACGTTGGGCACCAGGTGTGGCCCCACCACAGTAGGCAGAATGCTGCCGCTGGTTTTTTCATTCAGGGCCGGGGGGGTTCTAGCGCGCAGGGCGCAGTAGATCAATAGGAGGACTTGGCCGATCAGCATGGCCAGAAGGCAGATGTAGAAGACGAGATTCCAGTTGATGGAGAACGCATTGAGGTAGGAGAGCAAGAAAGTCGCAGCGATCGCTGGGAAAATCATTTTTAATGTGGAATTAGTTTTTGAGGTTGCTAGGTTACATGCCAACTATTATATCAGGTTAAGACATCCCTATTCATTAAGTAGGCTCATTGCAATGAAATTAGTTATCATTCAGCGCGATATAAACAATACTGTAACATTTACACATAGTTGTTCATATATTGCCTTTTTAATAAAACTTAAGAATTTATATATAAAATAATAAACCTATACATTTATAGTTTCAAGAAAATTAAACGTACCATATATTGAGGAGTAAATATATATATATTTATTTCAATTATTGCAGCATGAGATTCTAAGCTCTTGTCAGTAATCTTTGTGTCCCGTATGGGAGGTGTTAGGTGGGAAGGTTAAGATTTTTTTCAATTTGATGAATGTCTGCGATTATCCCAAGTTTTCTGTTTGCGCTGCACTCCTAGCTGTTTAAGAAAATCTGATTTAACATATTTCTGATTGCATTATATGCAGGGGGATGAACTTATATTATTGAATTTGTATTTACATTTCTCATATCGCTGCAATATTTGGCATAAAATATATTTTGTTTATAATCTATTAGTTGCGTGAGGCATTTTAAAACTGCGGACAGCAAAAATTGGATTTTCAGGGTGTTAATATTTTTAACTTGAAACACACAATTATAAATATTCTATATAAAATGTTTATAAAATGAAATGTTCTGCAGTTTAAAATATAAAACTATAAAATTTTAACTTTTTTGTTTCTAAAAAAAAAGAGCATAGAGCTGAAAATTTCAAATATATTTTTCAATCAAAATATCATTATAATGGATATATTTATTATTTATTTTTTTTTATCAAAATTTCCTCTTTGAAAATATATAAACATATATTTTTAAAAAAGGGTTGGGTATATTTTGTTACAGATATTTAATATTGATTTTTTAAATAGGTATCAAGACATTTGTAAATATGACTTTAAAAAAGAATTTTCGAGATCAATAAAATGAAAAGATTTTTATTAATCACAAAATCGTGCGACAAGCTTTCGGGCAGTCACGCCCTTCGACTGGACCAGTCGAAGGGCGTGACTGCCCGAAAGCTTGTCGCACGATTTTGTGAATAATAAAAATCTTTTCTCCTTACGCTTTATTTCTAGTAATATAATCAGTGGAGAAAGTTTTCTTGCTTTTAAGATCAATAAAATGAATTTAATTTTTTTATAAATAACCTCACTATATATCAGATGTGTGTAATACATAAAGTTGCAAAAACGTTCGAACGCGAAATTGAGATCGAACGTTGTTATATATATTTCAGACAATATTAATTAACAAATATATTATAATCCCTTAAGTATATTTTAAATTATAAATGAAAGACAATCTGCTGAAGAAGGTTTCCTTTAAAAGAATAAAAGTACCTCTTTCCTCAGCATATATATAATATACTAGCGAACCCGGCCACGCGTTGCTGTGGCTAAGTTGTAATATGTTAAATTAATATTATACTAAACTATTCAGTACAGTAATGTTAATATTCACTTATAAAGATAAAAATGTTTTAGCCGATCTAAAGCCCTACGGGATTGAGAATGGAACGTTACGTTAAAATTTGAAAGTGATTTTTATATATATAGATAATATAGCCCTTTATAATCACTGCATTAATAAATGTCAGTGAACTTGTTTATATGTATTGTTTTTGTTTTTGAGATATTCTAATAGAACGTTCTCACAATTTTTGTAAAATATTTATATATCCACAAACACAGAATTTAAAAATATGTCTTAAAATTTGCTATAATTATTGTTATAAATATTATTTTAAAATAATTCGCCAGAAATCGTCCCGGTAGTATACTAAACAACTTCCCAAAGTTTCATGGCAAACATCTAAAATAAAATAATACTTTTAATACTTTGCTACAATATTAAAAAGAGGGGTGCTTAGGTGTTTAAAATGTAAAATGTGCTCTAAATAGTATTACATAGAGCCTTCATAACAAACATATTTAAAATAAACCAATTAAAATATAATAATGCTGTAAAAAAAGACTTTGCTACAATAATATAAAAGAAATGAAAATAAAAAAAAGACACCCACGCTGAGCCTCGAACCTAGGTTTGTTATAAATATTATTTAAAAATTGTTTATGTTAATTTTTATTTTAAAAAGCCTACATTTTAAATAAAATAATATTTTTAATAATTTGCTACAATAATATAAAAGAAATGAAAAAAAAAAAAACCACCCACGCTGAGCCTCGAACCTAGGTTGTGGGGCTACGAAGCTGTGTACCTAACCTATAGGCTAAGCTTGACGTTACAAATACGCTCATGCGAGGCTATTTCAGGCCATACGCCTGCCGCGAGGGGGCGCTGATTGCGAGTGAATTTACGTTTTATTGTAAATAAAAATGCAACGAAAGGTTATTTCTAAAGAGTAATTAGCCAGAAACCATCCCGGTAGTATACTAAACAACTTCCCAAAGTTTCATCACGATCGGTTGAGCGATGTAGAAGATTATCACTTACGGACGGACCAACAAACATTCATTTTTATATATATAGATTTATATACGTTTATAAATCTATATATATGTGGATTGGATGTTTTCTAGAATCGTTTTAACAAATGTTTGTTAGGCAAACTTTTACTCGGGTAAAAACCGGGCGAAGCCGGGAACATTCGCTTGTGTATCTATAATTATCAAGATAAAGTTGAACCTTGCTATAACAACATGCTTGGACCATGTTGTTATAACCAAGTCGCTGTTATAAGGACACTACTCTTATCTGGATTGAATTTAGAGTAAATTCATTATTATACTTTAGAAAATATGAAAGAATTGAAGCTTATTTATCTTGTTATTTAAATAGACAAATCAATTGTTGTTGTGAGTATCCGTCAAGTACTTTAGGTTGGCTATATATATTACTAGCCGAATGACCCGGGTTTTACCCGATTAAATGTTTTATTAAAATACTATTCTTTACAATTATAAATTGGCGTCGTGGATGGCACTCTTTTGAAACGTCCCGCTTCAATCTTTGTGTGCTTTTAAAATACAAAAATAAAAATGTAAATTTTCACAACGATATTTGAAAATTGTATTATTTAGATTTTTTGTATGAATATATTTTAAATCTGATATATACATAAAATGATATGATAATGATAGCAAGTGATTTCTTGTTCCTACCCTGTCATTACGTCACTCAAGGTCACCGTCGTGCCACTTGGTGGCGCAGCAAACGGTGACACCCCGAATGGTGCTCTCCTATTGGCTCGCTACGATCACACCACCAAAAGCAAACGGTGACAGAACGCATGACGCTGATAACTGTATTTAGAATATGGACAAAATTTTCTAATTTAATCTGTTGGTAACCATTGCTCACAGCTAATCCAGTAGCTTCCTTGACACCTTCCAGTCAAGTGGTCTCTTTCTTTAATTGTTCTCATCATCATCTTTCTAATCCATTTAGTCCCTCATATGTCTGAAATAGGTCAGTCTTTGCTTGTATATTTGGGATTCTGGAGATCTAGCCAAATTAATTTCACTTAAGATGGAAATATTTGTCCTCTTATATCTCTTAGAGCACACTCTCCTTGCCTTTCTCCTTGTCCACATTGCAAAAGTTTCAATTCTCTTTTTTTCTTATTTTCTAGATATACAAGAAAATAAGACCTAATCCAAACAGCATTGTTACTGAAATGTCACATACTATTAAATTATTTGGATTAGGTCTTATATTCTTGTATCTATAATCCAAATTGTGCTCATCATTTTTTCTTTTCTGAGAGTCCAGTCCAGCTCTCAAAACCTAAGTGACCACAGTAAATACCAATGCCTCTACAATTCTCTTCCTTGTCTTGAGAAAAATGCCTTTATCTTTCATAAACTTGTCCAAGTTCATAGTTGCACTCCTGCCTAATGCTATTCTATTTTTACTTCCTCTAAGCAACCCTCCATCCTATCAATCCTGGATCCTAAGAATATGAATTGATTAACTAAATCAATTTTTTGTTTAACTTATTTCAAAGCTATTTATATTATCTGTAGTTATCATTTTGGGCCTGCTGATATTTAAATTTAATTTTAAAAAAATTGCAAATATATACATAAAAAGCTATATAAAGACATTCCATACCAAAGATGCATAATTATATAGAATATAACTTCTTTAACATGACCTGTGTTTATAATTTCTGTTATATTGCAATATACCAAGTTTTCTCCTGAAGAAGGGCGTCCGTGCCCGAAAGTTAGAGAATTAAAACGTTTTGAAAAGACACTTTTCCCTGGAGGCCTGATTAATTTTATTCAATTAAAACTATTAATTCAATTTTGTCCCTCAGTAAAACATTCTCTCTAATATCTCTAGACGTATGACCCGGCTTCGCCCGAGAATTCCCCTGATTGCAATTTCCTTCATACTGAAAGTACATCAATATTTTTTTTTTTGCTTATCCCTAGTACACGTGGTACAGGCCATGATAATCATGGTGAGTAGAAGTGCCATAAAATAGCAATACAGAAGTAACACATAAACTACAGGAAAAAAGTGTGTGTGATGGCAAAAATTGTATTATATTAGTGTTTAGGTATTTGATTTAATTAATATAGTTGATATAATAATATATATTTATATTATATATAATATAAATGAGTTTTAAAAATTGTAAAAAAAAAAAAAGCATCGGCCGGGAATCGAACCCGCCCACGTGGCAAGCGAGCATTGTACCACTGAACCACCGATGCTTATAAAAAAATGGCCATATTTGGGTATTCAATCCATTCCGGATTACTCCGCGTAAAAAAAAAGTTCTTCAAATGAAAAAAAGAAATAGCCAAAAATACTAATCAAAATGTAGCCGAAAATTTTCCTCAGGTTTATAAAAAGCGACATGCAAAATTTGGTACCAATTGGTTCAGTAGTTTTTGAGTTTATCGCGAAACAGACAGACATTATAAATATATTATTTTAATATTCAGATATATTCATATTAACAGAATTTAACTGAATGTTCTGATCTCTTAGGGTGTGGAATTTTAAAAGTTAGAGGACTAGTTTTAATGATTTACCAAACAGCAGGCATTGAGAACAATCTCCCAGGAAAAAGTTTTTTAAAAAGTCATCATGTATAATAAATACCTTGAGATGGTATGTGTCATAGTATTGATTCAAAACATCTCACATAATCCTAAATGGAATGTGTTATTTCTAACCAAATAGAAAAAATGTATATCCCTAAAGCACAGAATTTACAAGCTCGAGGAGCATGGACTCATGGAATTTGTGTAATCTTTACACAAGAGGATAAGAAACAACAGAAGTTACATGGCTACCCACCTGTACTGCATTCCTCCCCGGAAGCCACCACCACGGCCCCGGCCTCTGAAGAATCTGTTGTTGCCCTGGTTGAAGGAACCTCGACCTATAACACAACCAGTTACAAATAGGATCTGCCACCAGTCCTCCCCATACACTCCAACAATCCCCTCCCATTAAAACTGGGACTATTCCTAGATAACCTCTCCTGTCAAAACTAAGTGCCATCTGTTGAAGTTTCCGTGAACCAGCAGAGTCAGTTCTTCAAATTAAAGATACTTCGGCCAGTAAATCTTTTTTATTGTCTCGACAAAAATCTTTTGTCCTGGTCAGGAGCGAACAAAATTAAAACATTTGGCAAAGCGTTAACACCAGGCAGCCTTTATCTATACGATAGCAGACTCAGACAACACCAGCTTTGGCAAACTGAGAAGTTCTCACCTGGAGACCAGGTTTCAGGCTAATAGCCCTTATAGGGTGGACTTTGATTGTAGGAGCTCCAAAAAGGATTTCTAGAGATCTACTATGTCCGCATCAACTACTTCCTTTCCACCATCCACTCACCTTGGTAGTTGGATGGAGATCTTTGGGGAGGTCCAGCGGCATCTGAGCAATACAACCATTCTTTTATTAACTAGTTTGGGGCTACTTTATCTGATGTGAGAGTGCTGCCCTCAAGTCATATATTTATTTATCTGGATATTATTTGCTCTCACTCTGATACCATATTTTTTAGTCCGGAAACATTTATTGAAATCTTTATGCAGACTTTTGTGCCTCCTGAATTCCTATAAACAAGTATACTTTTTGTAAGTATTACTTTAAATTTAACGTTCCCTAATTTGACAATTTTTTAGATTAAATGAGTTTTTACACATTTGTCCCAATGTTAACATGATCCTTATTTAATAATTGTAATATCTTCAATTAATTCAGAAGTGATTGATTGCCAAATAGTATAAATGGAGCAGAGTAATGACTAAATAGTAGAAACGTGTTGAGAAGTGAAGAGGAATGAATTGGAAGAAACCAACAAAAATCCCTCCAAGCAAAACAAGAAGTCTTATTTTGTGATTGTGTCCCAACTATCAGATCAAATAATGAGGGCAGGTCTATGGCCTCCCTTCATTGGAAACATTCACCTTAGGCTACAAAAATGTTTCCTGGATTTTGGAATAGACTTTGTTGGTTCTTGCTTAGCATTTAATTTAAGTTGTTCTGTATAACAACCCCTGATAAGTCAATTATGTGATGTTTCAGTAACAACAGTGTAGTTATCTGACAAAAGTACAACAGCAAGTAGGAATCAAATGAGAAAACAACAATATACTCAGAGGTGACAGCTATTTAAGACATGCTGAGATACTTTTGTCATTCACTATTTTTTTCTGAAGATGGTAAAAATGCTGTTATCACATAAAATGTACTTATTTGGTCTTGTTACCTTATCATTTTATCCAAATATATCATTATACCTTAACAGAATTGTTACCATATCATTTTATCCAAATATATCATTATACCTTAACAGAAGAGGTACCCCTCCTTTCAATTATGCATTAGAACACTGCATTACTCGGGTAAGTAATAAAGAATGATCCACATCACCAGTATTCAGAATTTGAAAGGAGAGATGTTGGCACATGAATACCAACCTTCCAAAACTTTATATATCATTATATGTTGTAAGGGGACTAGTGGTATAAGTCCTTGAAGAATTCAATCCCATATTGGGCACTTACAAAAATTTGCTATTCTTGCAAAATTCCAATGCAACCAATGAGTGCGAGTAAACAAATGGGGCACACTTGTAAGTGGAACTGCTTTCCACATGTGTAGATATGTGATGTGTTTACAGTAAAAGCAGTCACCAACTACTAGCCATCATGATTATCATGGCCTGTACTATGTGTACTAGAGAGAGTGATTGAAAAACTATATATATATGTCGTATTGTAATTTTTCCAAAGTTCAATGTCTGGAAATGACAATTAAGCAGTCGTTTGTGGCTGTCTCCACCTCAATAATCCTCTCTTTATTTTTTTCAAATCTTTTTTAAACAAAACAAAAATTTACATACACCATTTAATTAAATCTTTAGTAAAAAAAAAAAAAAAAAAAAATTTACATTCTATCATTCAAAATGTATTACTACCCCCCACAAAAAAAAAGAAAAATTTGTATTAAATTTTCTTCCTCAACGGAGGTTGGGAGGGGATGGAAGGTAAAGGATGAGATACATTTCGAAGGGGAAAGAAGAAAAAAAAAAAAAAAAAAGAAAAGAAAAAAAAAATGCAAAAATTATATTACACAAGTAATTGTATTTACACAAGAAACTATATTGTTAGAGGCAAAAGGCGACCAAGGCCTGTTAGGTGGGGAATTCACAGGAAAAGGTGGCCCTACAAAACCTAACTAACATAATGCAGACAACTGGGGAAAAATTTCTAAATATCAAGCACTACATGTTTACATACCCTCATACACATAGGTATAATCCCATTCAATAGCAACTTTTATTGCTGAATGGAAGCATGCAATATTTAGGGTTAGTAGTGGAAAAACTTGCCTGTTAAGCTAAGTGCCCAAGCATTGTTCCAGGTCCTCTTCTTGAAATGGAAAAATTGTGTGTAGGTTTTCCTCGGTATCTTCAAATACTGGTTCCCAGAGTCTTATTTTAGAAATATTAACTATTGTTGTACATTTATTTTCGGGTTGACATGGCTTATCTATTTCTATTGTTTGGGGGGAAGGTATGGCAATTATCGTATAAGGTTCTGGGTAAAAAGCTGGCATAAGTTTACCTTGGCCTGATTGGTAAGGGATCTTATACAGTACCTTATCTCCTATTTTTAAATTGGGCGTTTTATGGGATTCATTATATCTTTTGACTAATTAAGATGTAGTTTTATTGTATTATCATTGGCGGTTTTCCTAGCTTCTTCTATGGGGGGATAGGCTATTGTTAGGTCACTGGTATAAAATGGATTAATGCCGAAAAGTAAATAAACGGGAGGAATTGTAGTTATTGAATGGGGAGTATTCCTATATTCTTCTAATGCTTTTTGTAATAGCTTGTGCCATGGAATTCTGGGATTTTGTTGATGGTGGAGTCTTAACTTCGAAATGATAGTGGCATTAGCCCTTTCTACCAGCCCGTTACATTGTGGATGAGAAGGGGATGTCATAACGTGTTTTATGCCTTTTTCCTGTATGAATTTATTGAATCTTTTGGAGACAAATGAGGGATGTCTGTCGGTAACAATAATCTTTGGCTTACCTATACTTAATAATTGATTTATAATATTTATATACGTTGCTATCGAGGTACTCTTAGAAGGAAAAGCCCAAATGTATCTAGAGTGATGATCAACTACTACATGAAGGCAATTTTTTGTACTATTATATTCTCCTAAGCCTAAAATACTATCAAGAGCAACTACATCAAATGGTTTCTCAGCCAGCGGTAAAGTACCCATGAGTCCATATGAAGGTGTAGTCGGCTTCTTTACAGATTGACAGGTCTTGCATTTCAAAATATAATTTTTTATTTTACCTATCATACCTTTAAAATAATATTGTGTTGATATTACCCTAGCCATTGCACTAATACCTGGGTGTCCTAAACTTTCATGGGCCTTAATTATCAATTCTTGTTGTAAGGATGGTGGTACTACTATTCTATCTTTATTTTTTAATCGAATATAAGTGATATTGTCTTTATTGAAATATAATTTAGATGAAGGCTTAGCTAAGGATTCTTGTCCTTCTTTTAAATCTTGTATGGATAGGAAGCAAGAATATGGTAAGCGGGACAACATGTCAGCTTCATAATTTTCACATCCTTTATTATATTTGAATTCCAAATCATATTCTGATAATCTTAATGACCATCGAAATAGTCTACCATTTGTATGTTTGAAATTATTTAACCAAATTAGTGCTTTATGATCAGTGTGAACTATTACCCGCTGACCTGAAAGGTAGGGATGGTATCTCTTGCACGTTTCTATTATTGCTAATAATTCCAGCTCTGTAATGGTATATTTGGATTCTGCCCCCCTTAAGGCCCTACTATAAAACGCTATGGGTTTCATTGTGCCATCAGGATACTCCTGTTTGAGTACGCCTCCTAAACCTGCAGTACTAGCATCACAAAAGATATCCGTAGTTAATAACGGATTATAAATTTGGAGGATTGGTTTCGAAACTAATGCTTCTTTAAGAGCCTCAAAACTTTTTTGGCATTCGTCAGTCCATGTAAATTTTATATCTTTTTTCAAAAGATTATTTAAGGGAGCTCTTAATTTATTAAAATGATTTATAAACTTAGCATAATGTGTAACGCTTCCTAAAAATGATCTTAAGCACCTAACATTACGAGGAGGTGGCAATGATTTAATTATATCAACATTAATGCCCGAGGGAG